CACATTTCTTATTTATATCAACTAAAATTCTCAGCAATAAAAAGTCACTAAAAGTGGTAAAGAATTTAAATACGAGGAAATATTTTTTAAGTTATGGTAAGTGATCCAACATATCTTACGGTTCATACAAATTTTTCAGAAATTAAAATTACCTATCCAGTGTTCTTATAAAAACTGTAATACTTTTTACAATGTGAGGTCACTAAATGTGTAGATATACAGATGGATTCCATTTTTCTTTTTTTCTTGAGATTTTTTTATATTAAAAACAGATACCAGCCTTTAATTTCTTTGTTTTGTTATATCCATATTAATTTTTGGACTACAGGACATTATGAACTATTATAATTCTGAAAGTAATTTTTTATTCACTTGAATCTTTGTGTAATTTTGATAAGTAGCATGTCACTAACTACCAAATATAAAATTGGAGGTTTTCTTTGACTAACTTTTTATTACAGATTTCTTGTTACTTTTTAGGCATAGATAGGCAGGACTTTACTCTGGACCAGATGTGAGGCTGGCCTAAACAGGAACAGGGTTCTGAAAGGACCTCTCTATAAGACACGCTCACCAATGCTATGACATTTTACCATTGTCATAGCAACATCCAGAAGTCACAGCCCTTTGCCATGGCAACACCGGAAAATTCCTGCCCCTGCCATGGCAACATCTGGAAGTTGGGGCACACCACCCACTTTCTAGCTATTTCTGAACAACCCACCCCTTAATTATCACATGATTAAAGGTGGGTATAAATGTTACTGTAAAACTGCCCCTGGCTGCTCCTCTTGGCCCTCTGACTATGAAATACCCCTGCTCTGCAGGAGTAGTCACAGAGTGTAATACCACTGCTGCCTCAATAAAGCTGTTTTCTTCTATCACCGGCTTACTCTTACATTCCTTCCTGAACAGAGCCAAGAACTGGCCTTGCATCAATATTGAGTCAGCCACCCACCACTAGAGATGGTGAGAGGCAGCACTTGATGTGGCAGTGAGACAGCAGAAACAGCGGAGAAGCAGGACAGCAAGACACAGCAAGAGATGGCACTTTATGAGAAGATGGACACAGCGGTCAGCATTGGCAAGACAGCTCTTGGAGACGTGGCAAGACAGAGACCAGTGAGAGAGGGCGAGACAGTGATCAGCGCTACAGCCATCAAAGCTACAGAGTTGCTAACATTGCAGAGCTGTTAACACTTGCCAAAGGCTGTTTTAAGAGCCATAATCTTTCCTGACAGGCGGTGGAGCCCTGGGGATGGGCAAATGGCCACAGAGTCACTGCTTCATGCAGGCCAGCCACTCCGTGCTCCAGTTCCCCCGCGGGAGCCCAACCCACCCAAGCTGGGGACCCTGGAGAGATCTTCATGCAGGCCCCACGTTAGAGACTGCTTGGCACCATTTTGGCTCCTACACACCAGTAAGTGTCCCCTCTGCACACCTGCCCTATATCGAATGATCCAGGAAATAAGGCCTTTGGCTAGATAGTTCATTTGAATTCCCCATAGCACACCTGACTACATCCTCATTGTTCCTTCTCTTAGTCATATCTCCTCTAATGCCATTTTATTTATCCATCAGCCATTTTATCTTATTTTCTGCCCTGATATATACCTTTGGTTTTTACTTTTGTTTTTGGCTCCCTGCTAATTAGGTTTGTGCAATTGTTTAAGGCAGGACACTTGGTTGTAAGAATTCTCCTGTTCTGTTGACTCTAAGAAGCCAGAATCACATTGTTCTATGGCCCCAACCCGGCCTTTGGGGCTCATTGTTGGCCACCCCACTGAGGCTCCAGGATTTCCTGCACTGCTCAGCCCCTGGATATTCCAGAATTTCCTGGCATTTGGTGTGGGGACACTCACAGGCTGATACTTGGGTACTCTGTGTTTTCAGAATTTAGTATTTTTGGTCACTACCTGGATGCTCCAGAGTTTTCAGCCTTGACATTCCTCCTTGGATTGTGCATTGGAGGTTCACGCTACAGGAATCTTGGTTTGACTTCTCTTGTTTTCTGCCCTAAAGTTATCATTTTCCATAATGCCATTTTGTTTTCTTATTGTGATTTTATTTGCACTTTTTCTTCTATACTTTACTTAATAAAAATATTGCTTAAAGCCCGGTGCAATGGCTCATACCTGTAATCCCAGCACTTTTGGCGGCCAAGGTAGATGGATCATTTGAGGTCAGGAAGACCAGTCTGGCCAACATGGTGAAACCCTGTGTCTATTAAAAATATCAAAAAACGAGTTGAACTTAGTGGAACACGCCTGTAATCCCAGCTACTTGGGTGTCTGAGGCATGAGAATCACTTGAACCCAGCAGGCGAATGTTGCACTAAGCCGAGATTGCACCATGGCACTCCAGCCTGAGTGACAGAGTGACAGTCTGTCTCAAATAATAATAATAATAAATACAAATTTAAAAATAAAAAATAAAAATACTGCTTTAGTCATATTTTGTTCACTAACAAATGCTTGTAATCTACGTTCATAACGTCTTGCTACCTTTACCTTCTATGCAGGAAGTGGAAATCTGAGAAGAGGACAATGATGGCCCAGTCACCTTCCCTCTTGTTAGACTTAGAAAAACTTCTGTGTCCAGTAGAAATCCTTGTTAGAAATGGGGACAATGGCGAGTATCACAGAGGACGTGTCACTAGGGTTCCTATTAGGTTATTGGAGCAAATTCAAATTCAGCTTAAAGAAAAAGAAACTCATTTTCTATCACAACACTGCTTGGGTTCAGCATAAATTAGAACACCAGGAGACTTGTCTTAAACATGGTTCCATACATTATAATACTATTTTACAATTAGACTTATTCTGTAAAAAAAAGAAAAGTTGTCTCTTGTGTACATGCTTTTGTGGCCCTCTACTCCCCCCTGTTGTTAGCCGGGTGTGGTGGCACATGCCTGTAATCCCAACACACTGGGAGGCTGAGGCAGGAGAATCGCTTGAACCAGGGAGATGGAGGTTACAGTGACCCAAGTTCGCACCACTGCACTACAGCCTGGGTGACAGAGTGAGATTCTGTCTCAAAAAAATAAATAAATAAATAAAATGTAGCTTTGAATTTTAAGCATCTATTTGACAAGAAATTCATAGTTCTTTCTCTTTAAAATAATGTAATGTTTCCTTTAAGAATGAGCCTGGTGTGATGCCTCTCTACCCAACATGATAGAAGTGTGGCATAAATCTATGAAAAATTCCAATTCCCTGTGCCTACAACCTGGGATTGAAAACTTCTTCCCTTTCTCTTGTCATTTCTTCTACACCCACTTCCACCTAGTCTGTGACTCAAAACAATACTTGTCAGGAAACATTCTGGAAAGAGCAAGAAAGACTTCCTTAGAGGTGTCAGAGATTCCTGTACCACTATTTGATGATCTCTAGAGGGGGTTGTGAGTGTGAGGAAGAGCAGAGCTGTAAAACTACCTGCATTCACTCCCACTATATTTCCTAACAACAATCACAGCAACACCTGTAACATCATAGGACAAGCCTCTACTACTTCCAAGGCTTTTATCTCAGTAAATCTTCTCTACCTCTATCTCAGGCAGCTAGAAAGTTTGATACTCATACAAATAGTACTGTAGCTTTTTGTTCATAATTGGAAAAGCAGGCAAGACCCAATGTAACACAGGCATTCCTTAAGCCAGTTAGCATTCTGTTTTTGGATCACCATTGTACACATGTACCAAGCATATGTCTAAGATAGATGTAAACATCCATGAAGTAAGAGTTACGATAGCTTGTGTTTTCTATTGTATTTTATTTTCCTCTTATATCATCTTCTCTTCTTTGTCATTAAAAAATATGTCAAAGTCAGTCTAAATTAGTGATTGGATCATAAGTAGATAAAATCTTTTATTTGATAACACATTGACCCGTTTGATATTTGATAACACATTGTTTCTTTGCAAGACATAGTCTTCATTTCCAAGATAACAAGACTGACAAAATTATACTGGAGCAAGTCCACAACTAATGATGGTAGCTTATCCTTATTGTCTTGCGGCAAGAATTAGACAAAAGATAACAAGGTAGAATAAAGATGACATAAGAAAGAAGGACCGAAACAGGACATGGTAACCTTTTATAGTGTAGCATTTTGATAATGGATGATAAGAAGTAATACATTAAACATGGATGGATGGGAATGATTGAAGGCCTGAGTACTTTAGCACAGATTAAGACCAAATCATTAGGACTTTTAGAGTTGTGTACAGGTAGTGAAGAAAAAGCCTTAGAATTTAATTTGACTGTGGATAAAACATTCTTAGATTAGATTTAAGACTATTTTCCATGCTGCTTATTTATGATAATGACGATGACTGTAGTGCTGAATATCACAGTTACACAGATATGGAAACTGAGACAGAGGGAAGTGAAGTTACTTGACCAATTTCAAGCTATCTGCAAGCCATGGAGCATCTATGTCAGGGCCTGCCAGGACGTGGGACTGTAAACAGAAGTTTTTCACTTTTAACTCAAAGAGGGTATGTGTCTGGGTTAATGGAAAGCTTCACGACCCTCAGAAAACATTATTAACAAGCAAATGAAGGTGTATCTGGAAGATTACGTTTTTTTTTTTTTTCTTTGCAATTTTTTTTTAATTTATTTATTATTATTATACTTTAAGTTGTAGGGTACATGTGATTACGTTTTAACACACTCTTCATTTCAATGGATTCAATAATGCACTTAGGGAGATGACTGGGCATAAGAGAACAGGAAGAGAGAAATGAAAACACAGCCTTTTATATTGTTCTTAACAGGCTTGTACCAAACATCATCTGGGTGAATTTAGGTGATTGAGGAGAAGAAAGACACAGGAGTGAAATTCTGTGATCACCAGGGGGAAGTTCTACACTCAGACTGAGCCAACAGACTTTTCTGATCTCTGACAACCAGGGCGGCACAGGATGCTCAGTGCAGAGAGGAGGAAGCAGGTGGTCCCTGCAGCTGGAAGCCCAGCTCCCACCCCAACTGCTTTGCATGTCCCTCCCAGCTGCCCTACCTTCCAGAGCCCATATCAATGCCTGGGTCAGAGCCCTGGGGAGGAACTGCTCAGTTAGGACCCAGAGGGAACCATGGAAGCCCCAGCACAGCTTCTCTTCCTCCTGCTACTCTGGCTCCCAGGTGAGGGGAATATGAGGTGGTTTTGCACATCGCTGAAAACTCCTGACACCTCTGCTCAGCAAGAAATATAGTTAAAATTCAATGTAGATCAAGAATTTTGCCTCTACTCAAAGGCAGTGGGTTTGATCTTGATTACATGAGTGCATTTCTGTTTTCTTTTCAATTTCAGATACCACCGGAGAAATTGTGATGACGCAGTCTCCAGCCACCCTGTCTTTGTCTCCAGGAGAAAGAGCCACCCTCTCCTGCAGGGCCAGTCAGAGTGTTAGCAGCTACTTAGCCTGGTACCAGCAGAAACCTGGGCAGGCTCCCAGGCTCCTCATCTATGGTGCATCCAGCAGGGCCACTGGCATCCCAGACAGGTTCAGTGGCAGTGGGTCTGGAACAGAGTTCACTCTCACCATCAGCAGCCTGGAGCCTGAAGATGTTGGAGTTTATTACTGTCAGCAGTATAATAACTGGAACCCACAGTGATTCAACATGAAACAAAAACCTCAACAAGACCTTCAGTGTTTACTGATTATACCAGCTGCTTCCTTTATAGACAGCTAGTGGGGTGGCTGCACAGTTTTAGCATCTCTGCTCTATTTGGCTATTTTGGAGTTCACGTTCTAAAGTCCAAAATGACTTATATTAATCCATTACCTCATTCCATTTCAGCATGGCTATTAATCGCATTTTAGAAGACATCTCTGTTTATGGCATCACCAAGAGTTTAATAAATCTTCTGTGCAAAAATAAACAACAAACACACTTAAAAGCTGAAATATCAAAACTATTTCAGCACTCTGAAAACTGACGAACCATGAAGTAATTAAGGATGCACATTCTTTGTTGAAAAAAAAGTACTAGTGCTTTGAGTAAGGACAGAAAAAGTCTGTAGTCTTTTACCTGTGACAGCAACCTTTTATTCCCAGCTCAGTCAGCATGATTTACAGAATTGGAGTTTTACCAATGTGAGGATATCAAATAAAACTGGCAGCTTGCTGCCAAATGGGGTGGACTTGAGTAAAGCCAAGGAGTGGAAAAACATTCTTCACTGTTTTTCCAGCTAAACGTGGAGAACTCCATAGGATATGAACAGAAAAAGCCCATAGCTTTGCTAGTCCAAGATGATGCCCTGTTTGGGGCAAGTAGTGCATCTGCTGATAGTAAATAGCAGATTCCTGGATAAGATAGACCCATATTGCTGAAACAATCTCTACACACATTCCTAGTGATCTAGAAGCTATAGATATGAGTGATGAGAACCAGGAGTTTCCTGCGCAAAGTAAAAGCAGAGGGAGGTAGGAACTGGCTGCATTTTGTATGCAGTTTGCTTTTTAAACCACACACAGATGGGTTGACAGAAGATAGATTTATAACTCCAGATATTTGAGCAAAATGTCTCAAATCATTGGTGACCACTTTGCTGTGCAGACACATGTGCAGTCCCTATAAATTCAAACTAAAGATTGATATTAAGAATAAAAAGAAGCAGAGATATCTGTGGTCAAACACCATGTGAGATACAGATTTTTCAATATCATGCATGAAAATACATTTAATACATCTAATCCACTGAACATTATAGCTCAGCCTATCCCACCCTAAATGCACACAGAACACTTACATTAGCTTACTGTTGGTCAATGTTATCTTACACAAAGCTTATCTTACAATAAACTGTTGAATACCTCATGTAATGTATTGAATCTTTTACCGAAAGAGAAAATACAATAGTTGTATGAAAACTCGAAGTTCTATTTCTACTTGAATGCATATCACATTCACACCATCTGAAAGTCAAAAAACCATAACTCAAACTATCTTAAGTCAGGTACTATCAGTAAGTTCAGACAAGTAACTAAGAAGAAAATTTAAAAATGATCAGAAAAAAAAAAAAAAAAAGAAATTCCAGGCCTGGCATGGTGGCTCAAGCCTGTAATCCCAGTAATTTTGTGTAATCAGATGGACCCTGAGTCACCCAAGATAAAACAAGAAAGATACTCTCAATGGTCCCTGAAGCATCTGAGAAGGAACCAAAATGAGTAAAAGGGCCTTCACAGAAAAGGAGGCTCACTCTCTACAAAAGAGACATGAAAAAGGCCAGAAAAGTCTTAGGAAGCCTGATTGGTGTATTTGTTAGGTTAAGCCACATTGCAGACCCAAATACCTTTGTCTGAAAGGCTCAGACAAAGTGGAGCCAAGGTCTCCACCAGAGACTACTGGCACTATATTCCTCTCAAGATAAAAGGTGAAAAAAAGGAATTCAGACTTCTCTGGGATTTTTATATGCTGTAATCCACCTGTCAATATTCCCAGGTCCCCTCAGAAAAAATTAAACTGATGACATCAGAAGGTGTCAGGACAAATGAGGACCCTGTGGTGAGTATGTGCTCATGTCCTGATCTGCATGTGGACCATTCCCTTTGGGCCATGTTGGGAACTGGTGATCATGACTCTCACTGCAGAGTGCAACAGAGGTACTGACATTTTGCTGCTGTGCCACAGAACATCACTGCTTCCTGAGGGGCTATCCCCACTCATAGCTAAGTATTCAAGGCATGACAGTGGGGCAAATCCACTCCTGCCTGCCTGCTAAGCTTCCCAAGCCCCAGAACCTTATTCAGCAAAAGCAGGACTGCATATTCAACGGAGATTGGAACACTACCTAGTTAATTTAATAGTTGCTACAAAAAGATGAAAATATCACAAAGCCTGGTGTCACAGTGGAACAATCCACTTTGGCAGACCAATGATGGACTGTTGAAGGATGAATGTCAAAGCCACCTGAAAATGAAACCGAGGAGTTATCCCAGGTATAGTTACGAGGAGGTATCCCAGGTGTAGTTAATCGTTGTTGGTCCTGGTGGCATCCACTAATAAAAAGGAGACCCACAAGCTAGTAGGTATTTTTGTGTACTGGGGACAAATCTTACCTGGGTGTACTTTTTGTTACGTTAGTTAAAATCACGAACAAAGTTGCCATCCTTGAACGAGGCCCTTTGCAACAGTACCCTTGAAATCTGTTCAACAGGGCATGACTGAGGCACTTCTTTAAAACCTTTAGAGCCTGTTTCCTTGATGGAAATCCAGGTGTCCACCATTTCTGTGCATGCAGACTGAAGCCTGTGGCAACAGCAGACACCAGTTGTGCCTCTTTTGAAAGGCCACTGCTTGCTTGCTGTAGGAAACTGACATGGGCTGAGTGTCTCAGAGCTAGAGTATCAGGCATGACGTTACTACCTTAACTACCCATTCTCACCTTGGTGCCTACAAACACAATCAATAAAGCTGGAAAGGCCCAACAGATTCAAATTATTAAATGGTAATGATGCGGTCAGAATTCGCCCTAACCCAGTTCCCATAGGATCCATGTGCAAATGAATGAATGCCCATAAACAAATGACAAGCTTCCTAGAAGGGAACGAATGACCCATAGGGGACAATTTAGCTTCTCCTTTGGCCACAATGAGCCAAAGATTCAGAGACATGCCTGTGTCAGTGTGGCATAGGGCCCTGATGATTGTACAAAACAGATGCCAGTGGGTCCACTGGGTGTGGACACCATCCAGCCAGGGAATGGCATCTTTTGACTGACACTGAACATGGACATTCTGCCCAATGGGCCAAACTACATGTAATGACAGTAGCCATGGAGGCTGCCCCCTTACACTGTATTTTACTCCATTTCCACTAAATCATGGGCCATTATCAACAACCCAGCTACCTGGTCAGGAAAATAGCAACTGAGTGACTGAACTATTAAAGGATCCCCTGTGCTGGGAAAAGGACTATGACAATAGTTTGCTTCTTGGACACCTAAATATATGTCACACAGTTAGATTCTGGGGCTACCATGGCCACCTTGGAGAGGAATTTATGCCATGTTTTTGGATATTCCATGAGACTTCACTTTGACGGAGAAACAACCTCACTGCACAATCAACATGACAATGGGCACGTTTTTGTGGAGCATAATGGATGTTCCATGTGATTACCAACACCCAACACTGCCTGCTGTACCTGGATAAACACCTCAGGTATCCTAGAAATACAGGTAGAGGTGATCCTGACGCAGGTTCAATGACTGCAGACAATGGGGCATCTCAAAGATCCCCCTTTCACCTCTTTAGCTGCAGTGGTCCTCAGAGCTGCTCTGAAAGGGTTTGTTGCATGGGAGGAAGCAGACTGGGATGACAGTTCCAGAACAGCACCCTGTGCTTCCCATTCCCACCCCTGCCATTATGTCCTGCAGGATTCCTAGTGGCCCATCATCTCTTCCAAATCCTTTGACATCTCATATGGATCATAGAATCTAGCTCATAATATTTATCTAACAAATAACTTTTCTGAATATCTTTTGTTCTCAACTATGTAACTAGTTTACTGACAAGAGAAATTATTTTGTGAATCTGGCCTAGTGATGGATGAATCTGGCCTGAGATCCCCTTCATTAATATCCATGAAAAGACTCACAGTCAAGACTCACTGGGACTCAGCATCTGTAATCCTATAGAAGATGCTAAGCCACAATCCTGACACTAGATGGTAGACAAACCCCATAATAACCCTAAGACAGAAGCCTGATCATAGAAATACTGGGAGAGCTTAGGAGTGATGTTTCATTATCAATAGCCCCTAAGGCTAGAATGTGGTCTCTGTGTTACTTAGAGTACCTGGAAGGAGCTGCCAGTGTCCTGAGTTGTGGGAACCACCTCTGTGCTCTGTGCTCTGTGCCCTGAGACTAGAAGCCCAGCCTTGCCTTCATGCCTGCCTTGGCTGTGTCCCCAAAGTTCACCTACATGTTTGGCTGGACTCAGTTTCTAATGGCCATATCAAAGCTTGCCAGCCTTGCTCTAAGAGCCAGGGCTTGCCTACTAGACAAGAAACCTTTCTGGAGCTACTTTAAAAGAAACAAAACCTTCCCAAGGACCCCTTTTCCTTTCTATCTGCCTAAAATGATTTCTTAATAACTCCTATAACACTTGGGTTCCAGAGACAAGGACGTGGACATCTTTTGGAGTGGGGACATTATTCATTCCACCGCCATAAACATATTCCCCAAAATTGTCCTTCTGGAAAGTAAAATTTAAAAAATCTCAAAGTATTTTCATGAAACAAGAGAGCTGGACCAAATCTTAGACTCAGGTTCCTTTCAATTGTGAGCTTTAACTATTAAGGTATGATCACTCCACTGTCTCTAATGTAGATTTATTGACATGTAGATAGTTTTAGAGGATTTTTAAGTTTGTGACCCAGTGTAAACAAAAGAGTATCTGAGACAGGTCTCAATTATATGTAGGTTTATTTTGCCAAAGATAAAGCTTATGGCCTGTGACACAGCCTTAAGATGTCCTGCAAATATGTGCCCAAGGTGATAGGATTACCCATTGGGTTTAAACACTTTGGAGAGACAGAAATTATGAGGAAAGACATAAATCAGTATATATAAGATATATATTAGTTTGTCCTGGAAAGGTGGGATATCTTGAAGCAGGGGCTTCCAGGTCATACATGGATTCAAAGGATTCCTGACTGGCCACTGGTTGAAAGAGTTAAGCTCTGCCTAAAGAGTTGAATTCATCATAAAGAAATACTTGAGTTAAGATAAAGGTGTGTGGAAGCCATGGTTCTTGTTATGTGGAAGAATCCTGTGGTTAGCAGACAAAGTAGATGGTGAATGGTGCCTATCCGACGTTTAAAAAAAAAAGTCAGATTCTTTGGAAAAGACTTAGTAAGGGGAGGATATTCTCTCAAGAATGAAAATTTCCCTCACTACAGGCAACTTTGCAGGGCCACTTCAGAATATGATGAAGAAATATTTTTTAGGGTAAAATATTTAGATTTTTTTTCAGGGCCTATTCTCTATCATGTTGGCCTATGATATCTTATTGCTACAAAGCATCTGTTTTGTCAGTCTAAAGATCTCCTTTGTAATGATAATGCTGGTCAGTTGTGTCTGAACTCCAAAGGGAGGAGAGTATAATGAGACACATCTTAACCCACCTGCCAGTAATGGCCTAACCTAGTTTTTCTTTTTTCTTTGAAGTTCTCTCTGCCAGGAGAGGAGACCTTTCAGCTGGTTGGTGGATTACAACTTATCTTTTTGTTTTAACAAACAGAACAACAACAACAAAAAATCACTGCATAAATTCAATCTAAAATAGATTGGTTAAAAAAAATTAAGTTCTTCTTGAATATTCCTACAAGTCAAAGAGAGAGAAGTGATAAGAATAAAGATGGGAAATACTTCTCATAGAAAAGACAAATGATTTCTTTTACTATATTAGTTCGGGTCCACCAGCAATGAGGATTCCTGTTTAGGCAGCAAATTTACACTGGGAGGAAAGGAGGAAAATGAGAAAGGGAACAGAAGATGAAAGGTAAAAGACATATCAACAACTCACCTGACTCAGGAGAAAGGAAGATCATCCACATGTGGAAACATGGAGTAAATTCCTCTGGGCTGTTCCACCTGAGAGATGAGGAAGCTGGGGTATGTATACACCTCATCCTGTCCTCACTGATTGTGAGCTCTACCTCTTGTTCCATTTCAAGCTGCTATAACAGGTTCCTTGTCACTGTATAATTCATAAAAAACAGAAGTGAATTTTTCCACACTTCTAGGGAATGGGGAATTTAAGATCAAGGCATGGGCAGGTTATGGTCTGCTTTCTCTGCTTTCAAGATGATGCCTGTAGCATTGACTCCTTCAAAGAAAGAAAGGCCTTGTCTTAACATGACAGAGGACAGAAGAGAAAAAAAGATTCCAGCCTCATAAGCTCTGTTTATTGTGTCATTAATGTATTCCTCTAGAAGGCTCCACCCTCATGACCTAAACACATCCCAATAGGCCCTACCTGACAATAGCATTACACTGAGATTTAACTTTACAACAGATGGATTCTGGAGGACATAGTCAAACCATAGCACTTTCCTAAGAGATGCACATTTGAGGCCATCTGGCCAGCAAGGCATGCAGGCAGATCTCTCTGCCCAAGATCATAAAGAACCTAAGACATATATATGGCCATTGGAAGTGAGCACAGGTACAATAAAGGGGAAAGCCCTAGATTACAGATGGGGACTGCTACGTTCATCATGGTACAGTTAACCCTAGAATAACTTGGGTTTTAAATTTGCAGATTCATGTATATTTGCTTCTGTGTGTGTCACCTGTGAACAAGCACTTTATAAGTAGTAAATATACTTTCTGTATTTTATGGTTTTCTTAATAATATTTTTTTCTTTAGCATACTCTATTAGAAAAATAGAGTATACAATATGTATAACTAAAAAAGGGGTTAATCAACTATTTTATCACTAAGGCTTCCAGTCAAAAGTAATCTATTAGTACTTAAGTTAGGGATACAAAAGTTTACACAGGTTTTCATCTGCACCAGTGCTCAGTGCCCCAACTTCCACGTTGTTCAGGGGTCAACTGCCCTTTTAGTCTGTAGCTGCATCTCTCTGGAACAGCATCTTGGCAGGTGGGTTGCAAGTAAAGGAATCCAGAAAATAACATCTCAAACTATGCTGCATTTGTATGATGATTATGAAAATCCAAAGGCATTTAGAAAGCAGCAAATGCACAAAAAGTCTTTTCCTAAATATCCCTTATCTGCCTAAAACCAAATGCTTCAGAAGGACACCAATTTTCAAGAAAATTCTTCCTGAGAATTTTTATCAGGGAAGATTAACACAAAACGGGAATCAAAAATAGAAGAGACTGGAAGTTGATACTTTAACCAGGCAAGTGCTTACCTGTTCTCTTGAGGATGCACTTCTATTCTCATCTATTCTCTCCCAGTTGCCTACACTTCCCAATTCCCTCTTCCTTAGAAAAGAAATAGAAATGCTTGGATTTCATTGACTTATCAGGTCATCACCCTGTGATGATATCCCACTGCACTTTTAAGTGAATTTTGTTTGCCTTTTCTCTTATTAATCTTCCTTTTGTCAGTTTATTTTCAGCAAGCAATTAGAAGACAAAGAGAGCTTTTTTCCTTTCTCCCAATATAACCAAGTTCTCTTAAAACTCAGGCTGCTTACAAAGCAGCAGGAAGGTTTGTGCACAGGCTACAGCACTGTGATTTGGCTCCCCAGTCAGGCATCAGTAAAATTTTGTAGAGCCCTAGGCTGCAGCCCACTGATGCTGACATAGTTGGATCCACCTCCTCTGCTACTGAGCCAGGCTGGGACATTTTTGGGCACATTAGAGATATTAGATATAATGACTGCAAATTCCTGTCCCGTTTCATCTGGGTCCAACTGATTTCTCCATGTACATGGGCTGTTGCGTGATGAAAGACTGTCTCTTTCCTAAAGATGTTAACAGGGAGGCTGGTGTCTGGGTCAAGATGATGTCCCCAGTCACTGATAAAATGTAAAAGAGGAAAGTGTCATTGATAGTGCATGGCAGGGACATGCTCTGTACAGTGACCACCCTCATTAAGAGAGATGAACATTGGGAAATAATACTCAATGGCAGAAAAGAAGGTAGACTATGAAGGTGCGCAAAACAAGAATAAGGTGCAGCCCATTTAGTCTCTGGATATTAAAGAGACCTGTCACTCTTGATAATAGTGAATCTGTGAGTGCTGCATGCATTGAGAAAACTCAGTGTCATTTTTGTGTATTTGTAGTAAATTGCTTGAACTTATACTGGTAAGAACAATGGAATAACATCATTACCTAATACTTACAAATATATGTAGCATCATGACAGTACATTTTATTTTTAATTTTTTTTTGAAAGGAACAATGACAAATTTACAGGAAAGTTGCAAGTATATGACAAATACCCGCTTCCCTAACCAGAATCAAAGGAGAGTCTTTAAAGACCTTAGAATTGTATCATCTAAAATTTTACTATGTGTTTCCTACAAAAAAGAATATCCTCCTAAATACTCCCCATACACCAATGAAATATGTTACTCCATCGACTTTTGAGGAATATTTCAAATTGTCAAAAAAAAAACCTAAAAAATGTCTCTCGTAACAAAATAATCCCCAGTAGAAACACATTCTCTGCAGACAAATTTCTGCTACCCTGATCTTACCTGGGACACCTGGGGACACTGAGTCGCTGCTGAGTTACTGACATGAGCCAGCCCTGCAGCTGTGCCCAGCCTGCCCCATCCCCTGCTCATTTGCATGTTCCCAGAGCACATCCTCCTGCCCAGAAGACTTATTAATAGGCTGGTCACACTTCATGTAGAAGTCAGAACCACTCAGGACACAGCATGGACACGAGGGTCCCCGCTTATCTCCTGGGGCTCCTTCTGCTCTGGCTCCCAGGTAAGGAAGGAGAACACTAGCAGTTTACACAGCCCAGGGTTCTGAGTACTGCTTTACTATTCAGGGAAATTCTGTAACAACATGATTAATTGTGTGGACATTTGTTTTTATGTTTCCAATCTCAGGTGCCAGATGTGACATCCAGATGACCCAGTCTCCATCTTCCCTGTCTGCATCTGTAGGAGACAGAGTCACCATCACTTGCAGGGCAAGTCAGGGCATTAGCAATTATTTAAATTGGTATCAGCAGAAACCAGGAAAAGCTCCTAAGCTTCTGATCTATTCTGCATCCCGTTTGCAAAGTGGGGTCCCATCAAGGTTCAGCGGCAGTGGATCTGGGACAGAATTCACTCTCACCATCAGCAGCCTGCAGCCTGAAGATTTTGCTACTTATTATTGTGAACAGTTTAAAAATTACCTTTCCACAGCGTTTCAAACCCGAACAAAAACCCCCAGGGAAGCAGATGTAGAGGCTGGGCTGCCCCAGCTGTTCCTCCTGATGCCTCCATGGGCTGAGAGTGTTCCTCAGATGCAGCCACACTCTGATGGTGTCGGTAGAGGGAGACATGAAGTCACCTCTGCACCCTAATTCTTTTCTCTTTCTCAGCCCCAACTGCACAGACATAGCAATGCCTCTCCTGATTTACTAAAGACAGAGATCATGACACCTGAGGAGTCTAGTTTATGGCTTCAGTTGGACTTTATATAACACAGAAGAAGCCAGTGTAGATATTCTAAGCAGGAATTGTCTTAATACAGAGAATTAGAGTAAACTACAGAAGTCTAAATAAAATGTAGACATGAATCTCTAAATTTGTTTTATTTGCATAGAAATATTTCCCAAATGGGACATACAGGAAAACTCAGTGGTCTTCAATATGTTGGAAGAACAAAGAGAAAGGCAGCATTTTTTGAAAGAAGGAAAATGTTACCTGTGGCTCTGAGAAAGTTCATTGACATGAGGAATAGTCGCGAGTTGGGAAGCTCAGGCTGGTAAGCAGTGGTGGACAAAGGGAATCCTAGAATTATGTCAAGTTATCTCAGAAGTTGTGGATCAATTTGATTTCAGGTTACAAGAGTCAAAACAGTGAAGCTTGCAGAGAATTTTGTTACTGAAATGCCAGGGATTCGGTGTAGATCCTGCTGCTCACCACACAGAAAGCCAATCACTAAGACAACAAGCATTGGCTAGGAACAGGCTTTAATCAGGTGCTGCAGCTGAGGAGATGGGACACCATTCGCAAACGTATCTCCCTGACCAACTAAAATTAGGGGTGCACATAGCAGGGAAGAAATGTGGGAAACAGGAATTATGGAGGGGTAAGAAAGAGAATTTGGTCAACAAGAAGCAGGAGGTCAGTTAGGCAATCATAATGGGTGACGGTTCTGATGTCTCACTGTCCCGATTCAGTGATACCTAAATTTCAGCTCCTTGATAGTATCTGGGAGATCTGATTGTTGGTTTACTGAAAAAAGAGCTCAGGTAAGACAGATGTAACTATCTTGAGTTTTAAGACTGGGGAAGTCAATTTCTATGTTTATTCAAAAAACCATAAACATTAGTTCTGTGGGATAATAGGGCCTATTTCAATTGCATTGTAGAAACAATATTTTTCACCCTGAGTGTCTTTCTCTTCTGATTTCTTGTCTTTGTTGGGTATGACAGAATGACCCAATTCCTATGATTAATGTTCACACTACAAACTTTCAAAGCCAAGGATATAGTATTCAGGAAAGTTGATATTAGAAACAGGATTCTCTGGTGCTCCCTCAGAAAACAGAATGCATCCGCCCCTGAAGTATCAGCTATTTAACCACGTGGTCCTCAGTCCTGTCTGGAAGCTTAAGTCTGGGGTTGCTGAAGTTCTCAGCTTCCTAGAGTATTTTTCCAGGTGTTTCTCCAGTCCTCACCTTTATGTCTGTGCCTGTCTAGGTACCAATGGATAATATTGAGTCTTTCTTTTCTGACTTCCAAATCTCATGGGGGGATCTCTTATTGGGCAACTCTATAGGACATGAGAGGTAAGGAGAGATATTTACATAAGTTAAAATGATTATCCTCCATAAAGGCCATTTAAAAAAATTCTATTTGAAGCCACATGTTGAAAACACATCCAGGTTTGTTTTCTTATTAATGCAAACTTACATTTGCAAATATTTTCAGGATTGTAAAGTTTGAAAACTTATTTATTTGTTGACAGAATGATCAAACACTTCTATAATTAAGTGGAGTAACATTTTCTTGAAAATTTGTACTCATTGAAATAAAGGAATATATTTAAAATGCATGAATCTATGTTAGAAATTATTGCATGTAAATTCAACTATGTGGTTTGGTTTGGCAGGTTGATCACTCCTGTGACCTGTCACAAGAATCTTGTGTCATGTTTAGTCACTGCTGTTCAGCATTGTCATTAAACAATTGTTATCTACAGGCTGAATACAAGCTCAGTGCCCTGCAGAGGAACCACTCAGCAGAGCCCTTCCTTAATCAGTCAGATGACTGTGAACATGAGCATCCATGAACATGAAAACAAATGCTTACTGTTATCAGCCACTGAGTTGTGTATTTAACCAGTTACCAATAATTAATGCATAAACGCTTCCTGATACAGTATTTACACCTATACCTACATAAATATATGTATTTTTTCTTAAATTGGTGGTATAAATGTGAATAGTAATCAAATGATGAAGTTTGTTAATAGAGACAAAATTAAAACTAATTAGTATTTCAATAAAAAATTAAAGTTTACCTTATTCATGGAAAAAGGTGCATATATGTTTAAGATACATAGAAGTGAATATATATTTATTTGATAAAATGTTGGCTACAAATATATACAGTATTCATCTTTAAGTACATTTATTCTATTATGTATGCAATATATACATATTTATAAAATATAACTAAGTTATATACATTTAAATAATTGTTGTTACATTCCACAAAAAAAAAAAAAGGTATTTTGGACAACATCTAGTTCATACTCTTGCTACAGAAAATTTCTTTGTAGCCTTTATTCTTAAAACTTTACCAAATGGTTGTCCTTACCTAAAATATTTTTCCAATTCAGCAGAGCTGCAAGGGCAGGACTAGAGCATAATTTGACTAATATTGAATATTAACCATTGCTTCCTGTGAAAGTCTCCATTATGTTCATGCCCACGATGATGATATGCCAAATAAAGATCTCACAACAATAGATACTGGATGGAGTCACATCAGTGCCACTGTCAAGGAAGCCCTGGAAATGTAAAACTCATAACAGTGAGTAAACTGCAAGACCTACATCTGGTGATCACATTGCCAAGAGAACAGAAATTTAAAAACATTGGCTGCTGATTTTGACAGATCATCAGGCCTTAAAAGAAATGCAACAGGATGATTTCAGACAAAGTCATTCAGCAAGAGCTATAACTGGAGTTTCAAAAATGAGCCAAAATCGAGAAAAAAAAGCTTTCCAAGTGAATATTCATTGAAATTCCATTAACGAGCAGGGGGCTTTTAATAATGAGGACGATTGAACACATGGACTTCAGTCAGTCACCTTTGCCCACTTTCCCAGGTAGCCTCATGTACCAATGTTATGGAGGTCCCTGTGGGGACTCAATAATATGAGTTTCAACTAACTGAGATGTACAGGGCTACTGGCTCTTCTGAACACCCAATTTGCCAAGAAAACTGACCCCTCCAGAACCTGTAACTTTGTACCACACATCAGGGCTCAGACAAACAGCTGGTATCTGGTGATTCTAGTGGACCTTGTGTAACATGAGGAGAGCAGTGGTTATTTTACTATATGTGAATTTGCCTTCCTTTTTGGTTATGTTTCTGCATAAAATAGTATTTGAGGATTTTCAAAGTGTTTTCATTGGAGTCAGGAAGTTCTTCCATAATATGGCTCTGGATCAAGCAACTTATTTAACTCAAAAAAAGGTGAAGCAAAGTGTAGCTCATGCTCTTGTCATGTGCACAGGTGCAGCTTTCCCTATAGACAGGGAAAAACCATTGTCAGTCAAGCAAAGCTGGCACACAAACCCTTGTGCTAGTGAATTGCTGTGCTGTCAGATGTGGTGGAGGCTCTGAAACACTGTGTGAATGGTGCTTTTACTCCCATAAACAGAATATTTATATCTGGAAAATGAGCTGTAGACTCATCATTGCTATACCAAATGAACAGCTTGAAATAATTTTTTTCTGTTTTCTCAGGGCTGTGGTTTCCTGGTTGATGGTTCTGAATCCAAAGAGTTGACATAACAATTGTTTCATTAAATTTAAAGAAATGATAAGATAAGATAGGCATGTGACCATTTAGATTTAATACAATACTGGATAAGTTGTCCAAAACAGGTTCGGGTGTGTGCTGGGGCCATAGATGTAGCCCATATAAAGCAAGAGCAAATAGGATTGATGTTACATATTTTAGAGAGGAAGCACAGAAAATATGGACCCTAGGGGAACTTCTGCAATGTTTCTATTTATTGCCGCTTCCACTGGTAAAACTCAGAGAAGATTTCAACAGTCATCAGGATGAAGTTCTAGGAATCACAGTCATGTGAAGCGTTACCTGCACTTGGGTCTCCAGTGAGGCAAAGGGAAGATGAAATGCATAGTGGGATATGGAGGGGTAAACACCAGGGACAGCCTCCTGGTCAGCTTAAACGTTGAAAAGTGTATTTATTTTTTCTCTTTAGTTTTATCACTGAATCATTCGGATCTAAGGAAAGCGATTATGGCTGATTAGGCAGAAAGGTGTTTATTATCATGAATTAAATGGATTGAAAACATTTGGGGAAACTAGAGTGGAAGGCTCAGGGAACTACAAGTACTTCTCTTGCTATTCCTCGACCCTCCCCACCTCCATGTTTTCTACAGTCAAAAAAGATATTCTCATTTCGTAGGAACCTGGCAAGTGAAGATATCGTGCCCACAGGACTGTGCTGACTGGCTGTGACCCAGACCAGGAAAATGAGCACATTTGAGTGAGATCAGGCATTTCCCCTCCCTCCTCTCAATGCAAAATGACTCTGTAGTAACACATCTGATGGGCAGTCAGAGAAAGGGGTCAGATTTCTAGCAGCTGACAGTTGATAGCAGAGCTGCTGTCCTTCTGGGGGCAGTAGTGAGAAGAGCCGTTCTCTTTTCTTCTGCAAGAGACAGCTTGAATGTGGAGTCTCAAGCAGTAGGAGCTCCTCCCCAGCCTGTGCCAGCAGTATGATTCTTGGAATTGTTCTAGAGGCTTTGGCTGGAGTCTGTTCTTTAAGGCTTTTCAACAATTTGTAAGGAATTTAATAATTCCTTCCTTCAAGATGCTACAGGGCACAGTCCATTTGAAATTTTAAGTCCAAGACTTTTGTGTTCCTTTGCTGCTTATCTGTAAATAATAAGCCCACTTCATGTAACTTGCTGTGTGTGGGTGTTCTGTTTCCCAGACTCAAGTACATTGGTAACCAGTGCACAGCGAAGCTGCTTCAAAGATGTCATTAACATAGAGACAGAACTGCAATGGAGGTTGCTGTGGATAGGGATAGAGAAAATGTCGGAGGGCCGGGGGGAGTATTGCTTAAGGGGTACAGATATATGAA